GTTCCAAGGCACAGTCTTGTATATTGCCGCATTTTCAAGAAACTTCCTTGAAGTCACCAATAGTTTCTTGAAATCCAAGAAAACCCCTGGTAATAAAAGAAACTTTTTTTACCGTGTCATAGCGGGGGAGCAGGAGCTGTGGAGGGCACGTGGCTGTTATGTCGCGAAAGAAAAGAAAGAATGTGTAGAAAGACCCTGACGAGAGGCGGAGAAGGAACGAGATGGGGTGGTGGGTGCTCCTGAAAAATGACGGGAATTCTTGAAATCACGCCGAATAAGGGCTGGGGGAGGAAAAGAAAAGGATGAAAGGAAGGGGGTGGGGATCCGCCTGGCGGTAATGAAGATCCTTTGCGTTTTAACGTCCCTCTGGCCCCTGCTAGAGAGGCCCGGCGCCGGTGCAGCGCGTGGCTAGGCCCCTCCCCCTTCCTGAGGCTGGGACCTCGGCTGGGACGACCAGCGCAAATCTGATTATCTCCCTGCAATCGGGGGGCTGATGTCGAGCAGCAGTAGCGGAGGGCATACTGAAAGGTCACGGGCAGCTCGGTAAAGGGGAGAAGGGGGTGGAGGGGGAAGGCCCCGACTTCTTGTCGAATGTATGAACCTCTCTCACTCTCCGTGTCTTTGCTCTCTCTTCCCTCTCTCTTGATTTATTTACTCACCCTAAATGTGTGCGTCTCTCTCTCTCTATGCCTGTCTCTATCTCTCTCTCTCTTACTGAAATGCCGGACCTCCTCCCGCTAATGGATTTTCTAGAAACGAATAACGCAATTGTGCCTCGCAGTGCGGCGGAGTCGCGCTGAAAGTTGGAGAGGATGAGGACGTCCTCCTCGGCGCCGCGCGAAGCGCTCTCCGGAGAGCGGAGAGTCCATTTAATTGCATTCTTCTCTCTCGGCCTTTATTGGGCCAGAGGAGGCCGTCACCTCGCCGTCTTACTCTCTTCTCGAGGAATATCTTCTACGCCTTAAATTGTATTGGGCTTCTTTTAAAAAAACTTTGGGCCTCGATAGAACTTTGCCACTTTTTGCCGTGACAGAGGCCGCTGCTGGCGCCGGGAAGGGGGGG